CACACACACACACTCATACATACGCGTGCGCTGCGCATAAACACATGCACACGCAAGTACACATACACACAATATACACACTCACACATTTCTGTTTTTATTAATATCCCAATATACCACCTATTAGTAAATAAATAGTGAAAAAATGATAACATCTTGTACTGAAACCCTTGTATGGGAAAGTTTTAAACATTGCAATAAGCGTTATATTTCAAAGTGGGCGTAGTTCTATGTAACGATAGACTATAATATTATTATGTCGTTAGATTTCTTTAACTTTTTACATGTTGATGAAATAGTGAAGCCCGGTATAGCATGCACTAATGGTAAACATCAACTTCCACTTTGGACTATTCCATTCAGTGAGACTCGCTGTCACTGAATTTGGACTGAACCAAGACCCAGACTTACTAAAAATGAAAAGGAATCTGTCTTTAAAAAAAAATTAAATGCATAAACATATTTTTAAAAAAATAAATAAAATACTAAAAAATATTCACCCAACACTTAAACATGCAAACTTAGATTCACCGAAGACCTTTAGTTACTTTATGAATTTTCTCCCGTAAAGAATCTTATTTTTTAAATCTATTTTACAATATTCCAAGGGACCACCGACTACTCTCCACCCCGGATCATTATACACTACATAAAATACACTGAATATTACGACTGACCTATCACAGACACACAACCATCGTATGCAACCTACATGAGGCCTTGTTTACATCTGTACACAGTTTATTATATATATTTAATATTGTAGCACTACTGCATTCCAGTTTTAAACTTTACCCTCGCCCTAGTCAAGAATTTTGGTAGGGCCCTAGTCAAGAATTTTGGTAGGGTTTCTGGGACAGGATGTGAATTTCGTTTTTCTGTGGTAACTCCAGGATTTCCTGAAAACCAAACGTCTGATCATGAATAAAATCGAAAGGAGAGAGAGAGTTCTTTGTGTGTTACAGAAAGAATACTCCTTTCATTCTCATCACAGCCTGCCCACTCAGGGTTACTCTGCCATCTTCTCCCACAGTCAGCCATAGCTGTCCACCTCTTGGAGAACATTGGTTCACTGAAAAAACCAAATAAACCAAAGTATCAAAACTGTGACGAAACTGGGGTCAAGGGCAAAAGACAAGAGATTGAAAGTATATGGTGGCGTCGGTGGCCTAGTGGTTAGGCTATCGGACTCGCAATCGTAAGGTCGTGGGTTCGAATCCCGTCAGGGGCCCGACGTTGTGTCCTTGGGAAAGGCACTTTACACGAATTTTCCTCACTTCACCCAGGTGGGAATGGGTACCCGGCTATAGACAGCGAAAGATCTTGTCAGTTTGTTAGTGTTTGAGCGCTTAATCAGCTGCTTGCACTGTATGCTTCCCGGGAAACTGACAATGTTTTGGAGTGTTCTATGGTCTGCTGGGGTAATAATATAGTGTAAAGCGCATAGAGCCTGCTGTTGAGCGGGGGTAGATCTATGCGCTATACAAAAGCTATTTATTATTATTATTATTATAGTTATTATTATTATTATTATTATTATTATTATTATTATTATTATTATTATTATTATTATTAGTAGTAGTAGTAGTAGTAGTAGTAGTAGTAGTAGTAGTAGTAGTAGTAGTAGTAGTAGTAGTAGTAGTAGTAGTATTAGTGCGGTCAAAAATGCATGGGGCAACTTATTGTCAAATAGGTCGATCTCTTTAACTATTGAACATAGATTCTCCAACTTTTGCCCAATGACTGAGATTTAAAAAACAATTTTTTTTTTAGTTGAGGGTTTTTCGGCGCTCGCAACTGCATAAGGTCATATCAGCGCCACGACTTAGATCTATATAATTTGTCTTAACAGTTGAATATTTTTCAAACTCCTGCACACTGTATTCTATAAAATTCCTTAATAAATACATGTACTAATAAAAAACCCGTCGATGGTTTCTTTAGATTTTAAAAAGTTAACAGCTCGAGCTATATTGCTTTTTAAAAATCTAGTCTGTCATTTCCCCCCCTAACTGTAATACTATGCTTATTGAACGTATGTTTTGGGAACCTTTAGTGCAAAAAAATGTGTTCACTATAAAATTAATTTCTTGTAAGAAGTTTTGCCATTAAAAAGTGTCATTGGCAAGCTGTGACGTAGGCCACAGATTCATGTGTATGCAAAAGGTGTGCGAGAAGCGGGAAGTGCTGTGAACAATCATATTTTCAGCGTGATGAAGATAAATAGTATTTTATATAAATTTATGAAGAAAAGTTTTTAAAACTAGCCTCAGTTGTTGTGGAAAAAATGCAATTAAGTTAAGATAAATTGATATAAACTGATGTGTAAAGTATGGGTGACATTGATTCAGCCGTTAAAGAGATATTTGAAGATAAATTGCGCTACGAAATTTTGACCACGCTATAGTAAAAATGTCTAAGACGGTCACGCATTATCGAGGAAAAAATGTGGCTTTCATAAACAAGTTGCTGTCTTGCACAGTGTCATTTTAATGCAAAAGAAAAATAAGCAAGGAAAGAAATGGAAAGTGACTTTACAGGTGATTATGTTATACAGGTAGCCGCTAGAACAGGCTCGACTGAATACACTTAAATCATACAATTTAGTCTTCCAACAGATTTGTTCGATTCCCCACAAGTCACAGGTCATCTTGACATAGAGGTTAGAGCAGAGAAGTTGGAAGGATGAAGAAAAGAAAGAGGGCAGCCGAGATACTCTGAAGAACATATTTAAAACTACATGTATATTTAATTTCTTTAAAAGTACCAGAGTATAATATATGGAGGGCTTTTATGCTGCTGATCAGTGGATCTAAAAGCTTCCAAACCCAAAGAGGGGAAACAAGAAAGACAAATCTTAAGAGAACAAGAACATATTATCCCAATATGGAGTAAGAGTTTGGAAGTATTGAGGACAAATTGTGACAGATATTATCATAAGAGTGACTGTAAATATTAGTGTCCTATGTCGAATTTCATTGATTTGTTTGAGGAAGGAGAAACTCATGCATCAATATGTGAGATGGGAGGGGTACACACACATGCACACACATACACATGCACACATACACACATGTGCTCAAACACATCATTTGAAAACAAAGGTCGCAATAAGGACGCTATTTGTTGTTTACAAAATTATCGCAATTATTGTCATTTTCCTTGATGCATGCGCCATGCAGCAGCATTATTTTTGGATATCCTTGTTCAATGGAGGTAGCCATCCAATGACTGTTTTTTTAAAGGCCTTGCCGTATTACCCTGGCAACCATTCAAGCATTGTGTCAGCTATCATCAAGTGTATTAACACACACACACAGACACACAAACACACACACACACACTCAC